GTAACCAATGTATTCGTATGTAACCTGTATGTTACCAGATGTGTCTGTATGTAGCCGAATGTTCCTGGTATGTACTCGTATGTTACTCGTATGTATTCGTATGTCACTCGTATGTACTCGTATGTACTCGTGTGGTGTTTTAGCCACGATTATATTCGAGTTAAGGTACCATGTTGAACTTAAATCTGATAAAATATCTTGGTATGTTAATTTCTACTACCAAAACAAGAGGTGCTTTAGCAAGTACGTTGGAGATCTAACACGTATGTTTAGACTGTTAAGTCGTTTAAAAACAAAGCTACAAGCCTCCTAACGAAAGAAGGACTATTAGCAGTCTCAAGAAAATCTGACTACACCGCAAATGAAAGCAATGAAGACCACAAAATATGGAGCCTGATGAACAATCAGAGGAAAAACTCCTACATTTAGAACAAGAACACAACGATTTGCCTGAACAAAACCACACAATATCATACAACATGCAAAACAGTCGACAGACAAAAAGCTCTACGAAGTTGATACAAGAAACAAAAGAACTTCTCTCTAACAAACTTATATGTAAATGTTATACCCGTTATAATAAGCAGCATAACTTGCAACAGTTTATCAGTCAGCTAGGCCTGGTGTAACAACACAAAATGCAAGTAACCAACATTTTTTTCGACCTTTCAGCACTCCAAAGCTAATATTTAAAGAGCTTAATTAAATCGTATCTTTCAATATAAATGAGCCGAAAAAACTAGTACACGGCAAAATACAGAAGTATTAATAAACTACACGCAGATAACAGCGGAAGCCGCTGACCTATGAGTCTAACGGCGCTACTCTAATGAAATGTCCCCCCTACAAACAAAGCATGACATTGCCCTCCAGAAACAAGTGTTAACAAGAAGCGTAAAAGGGCGGCCATGTATGGCCTGTTATCCTCGTTTAACAATGGTATTTAATTCAGCAAAACTTTTTATTATTATTATTATTATTATTATTATGACTCGCACATTTACAATTTTTACAGAAATAGACATACAGATTAAGTTAGAAATGCTTGATAATAGATACAGCGCGAACCCGCAGGTAGCATGGGCTAATCTAGGTGGGCCACATCTATATTTATATAAAAAAAATAAAAAATAATAATAATAATAATAATAGGAGGGTGCTATCAAGCTAAAAACTGGCTATC